TATATATATATAGAAAAAAAAGATTAGAAATATGATAAATCATATAGGGCATTTCTAACAAGGATATAGTATAACACAGTCAATTATTACACTCTTGTTGTTTGCCAACGTTAAACAAAGAAATAAGATGAAATAATTTACTACACTATGTCCTTGCTGGAAAACGTCCATAAAGAGAAATTTTGTTTTAGCTCTGTCGATAGAATTAATCATTAATTAATTTATCACGTAATCTCTATATTATTTTGTTAACATGGATTGAACTATTGATTTTTTATTATAAAATTAAATTAGAAATAAAAAAGCAAAGGGTTTTCATTTTACAGACGATAAATTAATATAGTTTGAAAATTTGCTTCAAGCAATTCCGTTGTTTGAATTAATCGCCGATTAAGTTAATCGAAGTTTATCAAAGTTACCCTTAGGTGTACAGATACAACAATTAACGACACAACAAGGATCTTTCACAGGTCCGTTTAATCACCTTACGAAATTACAAGGATAATTCGAAGCACATGCTTTCCACTAACGAGGTACGTGTAGGTATTACAATCGGTTTAAATTTTACAACACTGAATTACATAATTATGTACACATTATTTAACTGCATATAAACATACAAAAGGTTTAAAATTAATCATCGAGTCGATGGAAACTTCTGTAATTACCGTCTCCAATATCCATGACCGGACTTTCCATGTTGTCCAAACTCGATAATCCTTCGACATTGGATGTTTATGAAGCTCGAAGCTTTATTGCGATTAAAAAACGATCTGTTATCCCGTAAGATTAGCTTAAACGTCTTCTCTCGTAACTTTGTAACATTAAACTGTCTATATTAAACATAACTTAAAAATTTTTTAAATTCTAATTGGAATTTGTTTCGAAATTTCCTTAATCGATATTCATGGATCCAGTATACTTTAAATTAATGTATCTTAGTTACTGTTTAAAGTTAACTAAACATTATGTAACTAAACGATTTTTTTCACTCTGATAATCAAAATCCGAAGGAGATTATGTAATTTAAAATTATGTGAGATCGTGAAAAATATTTGTTATAAACAATTTTTTCTACAAAATAGTTGAAGAAAATGTCAAAATCGACTGGACTACGAATATCGATTAAGGTAATTAATAATTACATCCAAAAATCATCTCGTCCAAGATCGCTTCGGATCTTCTTGCAGGCCATTTAATTCTACAAATATTTTGAAGCATTCAATTGATTAATCAGAAAATATTTCAAAGCATTTGTAGCATCAAATAAACCATAGCCTTCGCGTTTCTTCGCGCAAGCTATCATAGAACGATCAAGATCGGAATGGATCGATGAGAAACAAAAGCGGAGACTGCTCCATTAATCATGTAGAAAATGAAACGTCGATAGAGACGCGTATGCATCACTTACGAGATGACCGATATACGCGTGAGCGATGAATAAAGAGTACACGCACGACGTGGCTTCTCGCTCTACGCTAACAATAATAACTTATTCAACGAAACATGGTGCATTACGCTTGCGAATTCGGTTCGTCGCTGCTCAGCCGCTTCGCGAACGTTGGATTATCGTGAAAAATGTGATTTACGAGTTTTACGACTTCGCTACGTGCCGACGCGGAGGGCGTCGAGAATGAGCTATCAATGAGACGATCACGCGCCGGAGCTCGCACGCTTCTCACGCAATTAAGTAGTTATATAATATAAATAACTACGCGCGCGAAACGTACAAGTAGCATTTATGCCATATCTTTTTATTACATAAAATTATACGCGATGAGCGCGAATTTCCTATTGCTGTGAACCAAGATAACGCATGATCGTCTCCTCGCAGGGGCGTGTCCAGGATTATTTGTCTTCGGGAGAGGATACCATCAATTCTATTATCACATAAACAGAATTTTATTGCGTCGATCATTTTCGCTTATTGGATATTTTAGAGCTTAGAATGTCTCCTTTTCTTTTCTTTTTATTTTAAATAGGAAAAATAAAAGATTTAATGGGAAAAATATTAGATCTTGTCAATTATAACTTTTAATCATGAATTTCGGAGAGAATTTAAACTCCTTAATCTTCCCTTCATTCTCTTGGATATGCCTGTGTTTTTGTTGCGTCATGCAAGGAGGACAGAGGGGTGCTTGTCTCTTCTAAACTTTGACAAGAAGAAATAATTAAATTATAAAAATTATTTTTACGACGAAAAGTTAAACATTCATTGCTCAATGCATGGCTTACGCGTTATTTGTAAGACAGTTCATTGATAATTTTCGAAAACTGGCTTCAATATAAGTATAATTTTAATACGTTTTGTGTGAAGATAAATTTTTATGTTTTATCTCCCCTGATTGAAATCCCGAGTACGCCCATACATTTACATCCTTCTTTTTTTAGTGATGCAAGGAGTACGCATCATTTTATCAGAAATCGATTTTTTTCTAACGCGATGTATACGCATATCTCGATGTTTGTTTTTTCACTCTCGATCCGAGCTCTCTTCGCCAGCTCCCCTTTGTCTTTCAAATAATTCTCGGCATAACGAGTTTTTCACGCAGGAATCTCTTCTGCGATAGGTACGCCAAAGATACGCGTCGATAAGGGTGCTACACGTGAGAGCTCGATCGCGTTCGATTATCGCGTGTTGAATTTTCTTCAACGCGTGAGAATTATTGCTCTTTGTTACTCGATATGACATTGGTCGCGCGACAAATGCAAATCGTAAATTACTTCGAGTTCCGCTCGCCCGTTGCTTTTAGATGTTGAGTCCAGCGCGAGATGAATGAAACTTGAGCATTTTTCACTTGTATTAAAAATCTATAGTTTTGTTCTCATTTTAAGCAAGATTTACGATGCAACAGGGAAAAAAAAATTAATTATCAATTCAAGAATTAAAATTAATTTTAACATAAATCTAATATCGTGTATCTTTTAACTCTTTTCTATTTTATATTATCTTTTATAAATATAATGGAAGTCCGGTATTGAATAAAACCTCGATAAAATACAGTTAATATTTGATATGTAAACAAAAACCAAAAATACATTTTATATACAATATGTAAATGTAAATTTGATATCATTCATTTATGGTAACAGCAATAAAATAAAAAAATTGTTATTTTTGAGCATAATTATTTGTAAAAAAGGAAACAAAGGAAAAACGCACATTTAAAGGTACATGCTTTTATTCTTCTATAATCAGTCATTATATTAAAATTGCATTTCAAAATTAATATTTTACGAAATTTTAACAATTCGAAATATTCAAAATTATTTTCTGGAAAACTTTGTTTTAGTCATATTGTTGTAGCAGATAAGCGATATATACACAGCGATATGTCAGAAAAAAATTCTTTTTCAATAATCACGTTTATCGCTGGACGTATTACATGCTAGAAGTAACAGGCTAGCTATTAACTCATATTGGTCGAGGAAATGCCATGAATTTCATTCCAACATTTTAATAACGTCCGTGATTTACAATAATGTATATAGAAACGCGATAAAAGCGTGTATGTATACATAGTTAAGCTACGAGCTCTTTGATCCCTTTTAACCCCTTCCCAACGACAACATGTTAACATATATCACATGACTCTCGGTACAATAAAACTCTTTTAGCGAAATCTCGGATATAAAAAAGAATGTGAAGGTGTAAATTATTTAAATCACAACAATTTGTCTATCTAAAATTACGCTAGCCTATGAAATCCGTAACAAGATTATATACATATTAAATATCCTACAATGTAAAACTGCAATTCACTATCAAATACATAACG